TCACAGTTCAGAGTAATAAATGTTTTTCACAGAATAGTGTAATCCATATTTCCAAAGCTGATACAACAAAGGCATTTCTACTAGAAATCTTTCAATTTCATGGGCGGAGGCTCAGAGAGGGAGAGAGAATTGTTAGGAGAAATGATAAGCAATAAAATGCCTGTGTTCAGAAATATTGGCCCTTTGGCTACTGCCTTTGGTTGATCGTTCTTGCTCCCAAATTACATCTTAATAAAGTATAGTCTGTCTTTTGATAGCAGTGCAAAAAAAATCTACTTTTAAAGTTCCTGCTGTGATTTCAGGGTGGTGAGGGTATTGGGTTGCAGGCAGTGGTGCACGAACACCTTGGTGTGTCCCACATCATGGGAATCCTGCGTGGTGAGCACTGGTCTCTCTGGGGCAGGTGATGCAAAGTGTGCTCTAGTGGTGATACGGGCTACTTTGTCTGGCCAGGGCTCTTGGACAGGCTCCTCTCTGTCTCAGTGCTGGGAGCTGCTGGCTGCTGTGCCTCTTTAGGGTCCCAAGAATGCAATCTCTCTGTGCACCCACTGCCGAGCCCTTCACCTCTGTGCCGGGATGAACCGATGGCTTGATGGGAGCATTCAAATTCTTCCCTTGGGAACTTGAACTGTGAAGTCTTATCCCAAATATTAATTTTTGATTCATCTCAGCTATCTTTTCTCTAGGAAAAGTTTTCTCAGCCAAAGGTAGCGAGAGCCCTGGGGTGTCCTTGTCCCCCTGGCTTTGGTTTGTCTTTGTGTGTGGGAAGAGAACTTGAGCATGTGCCAGAACAGTGAGGCTATCCTGGCAGGCCTTCCTGCCAGTGACAGCAAACAAATATATCACACTACACATTTCCTCTCTCAGAAGGGTATAGTTTGACTAGCTAAGTAGCTTGTGTTTTGGGCTCCCAAGACCTTCATTTGTTTCTGCCTTCAAACTTCCTGGCAAGCTTGCTTATGTCTATTAATTTTCCAAAGTCCATGAAAGCAAAAAAAGAGCAAATTGCATTAAAGTAATCTGTAATCATTTGAGTTAGCGTATGAGTGAAATACTCTCATAGCTGAGCAGTTAAAATGGAAATGCAGAATTGGGATGCTATATGTGCCATAGTTTATTGCCCACTATATGTGTTGCAGAATATCAGGTTCATTCCAGTCAAGGTTAGTAAGATGCTCGTGTTTGGTTTCACATTTAAAAAGAAAAAAAAAAAAAAGAAAAGTAAATAAAAAGAAAAGTAAATGGAGACACTGGTAATAGGAAAAAATATCTGCCTTATCAGGCCCTTCATTTGTTTATTCTCTTTCCCAGTGGGGCTGAGAAGATATGCTGGCACCTAGGACTTATGAATGGGATGCGTTTTGCAGCAAGGATGTGGGTGGCAGGGAAAGGCCAGTAGGTTGGTCTGTGCTGAAGAACCAAGCTTTTAATCAGAAATCCAGAAGCTCAGCATATCTAGTTGTATTACCATCTTGAAGCATTGCAAGCACTTGGTATATATAGTACTAATATTGTCCCTACTATGCTGAGACATCATGCTTATTTTAATGCACAGTACTAAAAATTTCAACTTCACATAAATTAGCTTTATTAGCTACTTTACTTAGTCATCATTCCTATTACTGCTTCATTAGATAACTGATTCATAATCATTGACTTACAAAGAACAGATTGCAGAGTTTTCTCCTTTCTGTCTGCTCCTCACCTTCCTGGGCTCCAGTGTGCATTCAGACTAATGCAATGGTACAACATGTAACACCAATCCATTTTGAATCCTGATGTGGGACAGCCTGAAATGCTCTGTCCTTGTAAAGCTGTTTTTCCCTCAGACCTACTGTAGGAGACTCTATAACCTTGATTGGAGTGTCTGACTCACGAGGATGAGCTAATTTTATTGGCAAGTTCCTGCTTTCTTGAGCAGGAAAATATAATAATATATTTTCTGGTGTTCGGGTAGCTGTGATAGGAGTCTGAAATATTGCATGTGTGTAAAATAGTCAAGGCATAAAAATATCCTCACAAAGCGGTGAGGTTATGTAGTTTGTGTGCCCTTGGTGCACAGGACAGCAGACACTCTGAGGGCTTTTTTCTATCTCACCAAGGTGAAGAAGGAGTCATCATCTGGTGTTTGTGTCAGGAGACTACATGGCTGTGAGACCAGTTGTTACATCCACTGAGGTGTGACCTTATAGTTGGGTGCAGGATGTGGCCTTTCTGCTGGAACACAGCTACCAAGCAACTGGGTTCTCAAAAAAGGTTTATCATGCCTGTTCATTCGGGTGTTACACTTCTTGTAGGCTTTGGGAGCAACTTAAAGCATGAAGTTGGGTGTTTTGGAAGGAGAAAGTAGGAATGACTCTGTGAAAGAAAACTGACTTTCTTTATAATGGTTTTATTTGCTGCTATGCTTTCTTATTTGGTTGTTCTGTTAGTCCTGTCTTCAAGTGCCATGGAGTTTCTCTTGTGACCCCTAGCATGTGTCACACCAGCAGCTCATGTGATTCTTGCTTGGGAAGAGGGGGCACTTACCAATTCTTGCAAGGAAAGCTGTGCTTTTCCTTCAGAGTTCTTGGAAGGAATTTTCCTCATCATCAGGCTATTCCTCCACAGTGAAATGGGAAAATTCTGCTAAAAGACCATTATATATAGTGGAAAAGGATTCTGCTGAAGGGATATGAACATTGCATTGCATTGCAACTCATCATGTCTCAGATGAGAGACTCTGGCCTCATGAAAAGGTTCGTGCTGGTTTCCCTTGCTGTAATGAAGAGAAAATTTGAAAATCCCAAATGCCTTGTAGAATTCCTATGACCTTTTGGTAACTTTTTAGATACATGCACTTGCTAAGCTCTAATATGCATGTGGTCACTGAACTGGCACTCCTCAAAATTAAATAGACCTAATGCAAATTACTAATAATCTGAGAAAGCTTTGTGCTAAAGAGGCTGTAGTAAAATTTCACAGGAGAATCCTCTTCTGCAGGCTACATTAAATGGCCTTGTTAGGCATTTGAGTATTGAGTGTCATTATGTAGTGATTTGAGAAGGACAGAAAAAAATCATAAAACTGCTAGTAAGATTCTCACAGCAGATCTATTATAGCTAGTCTCACTCATAATAATTTAGAGTTTTAATTTTCTCAAGCGTCCCACAGGTTTACTATATCTAGCCAAATGCTTCACGGACAAGTTGGCAGAATGGAAGCCTTTTATGACCTGTCCCCACTGGTGGCTTTTAAAGCTTCACCCCCTCTTCCTCCATATTTGTGTGCCACACCTATGCACATGCACATGCACATGCACACACACACACACACACACACACACACACACACACAAAAAGAAGTCTCAGGGAGACACAGGAGTTTGTCAAGTCCTGCACAGTTCTCAGTTTAATTCATGCTGTTCAGAAACCATAAGCATCTTGATACAGGGCTCTTTTCCCCTTGGTTTTAAAACCAAGGGAAATATGAAAAACTGAAACCAAGGCAGATTAACTGATACAGAAGCTCAGAGACAGGGGATTCCTGGTTTGAATAGTCTTCCTGAAAAACAACACCTCTCTGGGTCTCTGGGTTTTGCTCATCAGTCAATACCCATCTGTTTGAAAAGTGAAGAACCTGCAAGAAAACTGGTAAGACCCCTGGCAGAGAGTGTAAATACTCTGAACCTAGGGACTTATATCAGCAATAATTTTTCTACCTAATTGGCCCAATGCAGACTAAGTTATCCATGCTGGGTGCTCTCCCCCCGATTTGGATCTGTTGCTGACAATGGGGACAGGAGGGTGCATGCCTCGGTGTCCCAGCTGTAAGGATGCAGTTAGTTGGTGCTCCTGGGGCTGTGAAGGGATGCTGGGGATTTCCTAACCCCTGCTGACCCCTCCCGTGAGCAGAGCTGGCCACAGGTGTGGAGAGATGGGAATCCTGAGCTGGAGAATTTGAACAGAAGTGTTGAAATTATCTTTAACATCTGCAAAAACTCTTTGACAGAGCCTCTTGCAGCGAAGTCCCCAGAACATGAATTTTGACAAGGAAAGAGCCCATTATTATCAGTGATGTTTCAACCATTATTTTATGAATATATTCAATGACAAGAACTAGCTTGTTTCCAAGACAACAAAATTCAAACCCGATCCATGATTGCTCTAAAGGAGGCCTCCTGTCATTTCGTTCCTTTGAAGAAACTCACAATTTGATGGGCAAAATGCCAGAAATAATTAGACAGAATAGTACCATAAACCCCAATGGAAGCAAAATATCTGCTGTAAGAATTTCCCACCAGAAATCCTGAAAATCAAATCAAAGCCTAGATAAAATCTTTTCTGTTGAGTGCAAGAATGAAGTGGGGGGGGGAAGTGGGTGGGAGAAGACAATCCATTTTTTTACCTCATCAAAGGGAATACTAAAAACTGTCTTGTGACTTGCTTGTGTCTTCTTGTGAAATAATAAGTGGGCAGGGCAATCAAATTTAAAGCAGTATTCCCCAAAGCAAGGTCAAAACTGCTAGAAATGTTCATTTCATTTTTATTTGCTTTCCCTGCAAGGTACACACTGTGGCTATAATTTCCCATTCTTTATGGGGAGATCAAAAGATTTGTGCTGTGCTGTGTAGGAATCAATTCAGTCATCCTGGCAGCACGCCAATCTTTATTACATTATTTGTTAACCTGCGTTATTGCAGAATGGAATAACTGTTCCCTGGGATAAACTAGGGAGTTCTTCTTGCTTCCTTGACCTTGATTTCCACACTCGCTCCTTGTCCTCTCAGCACCCACATGCAGATAATGATTGTCTGTGTTAGAGTGAATGAAATATCGCTGCAGATCCTGAGCGAAGCAAATCACTGAATTGGTGGTGTGTAAGTGAACCAGTAGCCTTCATTGTTTGCCTCTGCTTTTGCAGCAAACTGAGTCTCAGGTATTTCTTACAGCAGGGGTCTCCTCTCTTTACTGGCAGTAAAACCACCCCACGTGACAAATTTGCTCTTTTCTTCCTACTAGGCCATTTCTGTAATCTTCAGAGCCAAATGCATCAGTCAAACCATCCTTCTTGGAATACTTTCGAATTTTTATGAGGACTCTTTTTCATTAAATTGGTAAGCAGTGATGTATTTTGGTAGTTTTGGGGACATGCATTAGGGGTATGCTAAAACCAAGTTTTTGAGGTCTCCCTAAGTAAGCATCACATGTACAAATCTCATATGTTCTGTTCTGGGAATGTTTCACTTACATTTTCTTAACAGAAAAAAGTAGGATTTGCACAGTTGTGTTTTTCACAGAGAAAATGAAGGGTAGGTTCTGTTTTTCATTGAACTAGTGTAATTCAGCATGTACTTGATTTTGATCAAATTGGGTAGCTTTTGGATTGGATCAACATTCATTGTGTCCTAAAAAGTTCTGCAAAAGCCACTGCTAGTGGAAGCTTGTGGACATTGATCCCCACTGCTGCTCTGACCCTAGACTGCCTGGGCAGGTGCATTTTCCATCTACACAGAACTTTCTGACTGAAAGAGCCATACTGGAAGTCACGGTTTTGGTGGTCATACCAGGGGACAGAGCATGGTAGGGGAGAAGGAACAGCCTGGAATGAGATGCTTAGGAGTCTGAGACAGATCTGAGGTTTAATTTCAGTGAAGGGCAGTGAACGCTATGTTGATATGCAGTCTGCACTGTGAAATGTGAAACTGGGTTGAACTCCTCCTTGGCTGATGTAATTCAGTATAAAAAAAGTCAGATTTCAGTAAGGAAATATTAGTAAGGGAGAGAGAAGAGGAACAAAACTTGCAGATTTTTTTCCAAAATACTCTCCACTGCTAAAAAGCAGATCTTTAATCCTATTTTGAAATAGAAACTTTTGTTGAAATCTTAGGATTTTTTATAGAGTAAGTGTCCTTCATGATAGCAAATCCCAGTTACTAAGTTGCAGACCAAAGCTGATGGCATTAGTTGATGCCAAAAAAGTGCAAAACATGCAAAAATGGAGAGTGTGGAGTGGAGCAGGCTCTGAGACCAGGGAGTTGGTACAGTCTCAGACACAAAGAGGTAGAAATAGCTGTCTTTTGTTATCCCTCGCCTAAGAGCCAGATGGTGTCTGGGGAAGTCTGGGAAGCAGTTGCAGGGACAGGCAGTGCAGGCCAGGGTGCTGCTGCCCAGTGCTGCAGGTCTGGGCAGATGCAGTGGCAGCACGTGGGACAGCAGCAGGGACAGGGCTCTAGAGACCCTTCAGGTTTTCTCCATTTGAGACTTGTCTCCGAGGCTGTGTGCTTGGTCAGGTACTGAAGTTGAAGGCAGTCACCCACCTGCCTGCCAGGTCCCCAGGGAAGTGCTCAGCTGTGCTGCCAGGGCATCCTCCTGACCAGATCCTGCAGACCTGTGAGAGGAGTCAGGCTGGAACTCAGGTGCTCTTTTCCATCATGACAGTCCCAGTCCCTTCCTCATGAGTTTGGGCTGTGCTGCTTGCACTGAGTGGAGCAGGGAATACAGAACACATATTTAGCCAGACTTTGCCATGGGCAGGGCAGGACTGGGGAAAAAAAGAATTCCTACCTTTGCTGAAATGCTCCATTGCTGCTTTGCAGAGGGATTTTTTTTTTTCTATTCTGCTCTTCCATATTCTGATGCTATAATCTGAAAATACCTCTGCCTCACAGTAGGTTGAGACAAAGGTGTTTACAAAAGCACTAAGCCTGAGAATCCAGCCACCCAGCATCCAAATAGGAAACTTAAATCCATAAGCTCCCTCCTTTAAACTGATGGAAATGGATCCAAACAAAACAAACCAAAACAAAAGCAGTAGGTAAACATGTTGGAATGTACAATGGATAATGGATATTGAGGGATGATCTAGTCATGCATGCTAAACAGATACACTTATGAGTTTAAATTTAATTAGCATCTGGAAATTAACAAGGCTAGAAAGAAGGGCAATGTGTTTTTAAGTGAAGGCGATGAATAGGTACTGTTAGGTGCATATAGATAAATGAGGATTTAATTTGTAAGACATTATGAGCCAGGTGCCTATAAAATAATTTGTGGGTTTTTTTTTCTGCTGGATATTATAAAAGATAATGGTGTAACACTTCAAGGTCAGTCTGTATCCACCTGTTCATTTCTTTTTGGGGAAAATATTTTTAAGAATAACTAAATGAAATTGACTTCCTTTGTAGAAAACTGCTGGGTGTTTTGATTTTAATTATGAATCATTACTAATTTTACATTCAAAATCCAGTCAGCCTTTATTGAAGAACAACTAAAGCTGCTCTGACTTTAATTTTTCAATCTGTACATTGACTGAGACAGGTTTCTGTGGAAAAATGCTAGTCCAAAACTGTGTCCCTTAAGTGTGCCATATGGGGATGCATTTCTGAAAGAAATGATATTTCATAGTGCTTGAATCAGAAAACATTGTTTTAAAACCAGAACATCACTTTAAAAAGCAAAGCACTGGTTTTAAACCAGGACTTCTTTAAAGAAAAACAGTTAAACTGAGTACTGTATGATGCTATGAATTACCTTGTCCCTGTCACCTATAGGATTTTCATCCATCTCCTTAAACATTTCAGCAGAGACTACTACCACTTGAACTGAAAACTAATGATAGCAGGAGATCCTGTTATCCCAGTGATGGATAGGGCTGTGAAAGTTACCTGTTGGGTCTTGATGATGTTCAGCAGAGAGAGGAAAGATTATGGCAGACTTTTTTTTTTTTCTTTTTTTTTTTTCATATTTCTGGGAGTGCTTCTGCTATCTGTGTTGGTGGGGTGTAAGCTTTATCTTGTATCTGGGTAACAGTCAGCCTCTTTGTCTCCATTCTGCTTTTCCAAGTGATACAGCAATTTTTTGGATTTCCAGCAAAAAAGTTTTGATGCTTGTTTGTTGCTAATAAATTTGCTTGTGGAGCTGCTATTCCTCAGAAAATGGAAGCCAGAGAAGAGAGGTTTATTCTTCTCAGCTGTTAGCCAAGCAAAGCACAAGTGAATTTTTATGAAAGAAAGTAAAGGCATTTTTCTTCAAACCAAATATCATAGGTCTGCTGTAATAGCTGCCTGCAAATTTATCCAGGAAGAACGATTTCTCTCTGTCTGTCTGTCTCTCTCTTTTAGAAGGAAAGGTGTTAAGTACCCTATGTAAACATTGCTCCCAGTATGCAATCAGTAACTAACTTTACCTTGAACAGGAATGAAAGGGATTCTACCAGGAATGCAAAGGATTTGAGGAGGGTTAGTATTTTGATCAACTTTTGAACATACAGTTTTGGATGAAGACACCAGTGACGAAGTTATCCGCTTTAAATGGGCTTGTGGTAGATGGGGAAGACTGAACACTCTCTTACTGACAGTTCTTTGCATTGTGATAAATTTAATGTGGCAGTAAAGAAGGGTTTACGTTTGTATAAACGCCTTTTACAACCAACAGCTTCCATCCACTTAATAATGACCCTGCTTTTCTCAGGAGAACAGCGCCATTACCAAGCTGTTGGAGCGGCTTCTGCAGCACCAGGCAGCTCTTCCTGCAGCACTTCATTGCCCAGCCCATCTGCAGAGTGCCAGGCGTGCTGGAGGACACCTGCTTCCTCAAATGTTGTTTTTGAGGATCAGACCCATTGTGGATGATTGCACTAGGCCTGTTACTTTGGTTGTGTTTTAGGAGAAAGATGAGTAAGAGCAGGCTTCCTACTAGGCATGCAACTTAGCAAAACCAGCCTCTAATTAAATACCCAAAAGGTGCATGCACCAAAAGCCCATGTGCAAACATCTCTTTGCATAAAGTATTTAAGTTCAGTAAAGGATTTGTCATAAATTATAAATTGAAACTAATGATTAAATTAATATTGCTTTATGTGTTTTTGGATACAAAGAGTATCACCTAGACTTGCTAGGGTTAATGCAAGTGGGGAGGGGTTGGACATTGTCTGTGGTTTAGCCTATGAGAGAAACAAATTTCTCAAATTTAGCCCATTTGCTTTATTTCACCATTTTTTCTTTTGTTTGGGAAACCTACAGAGTTTCAGGAGAGACTTAGGACTGGCAGGCCAGTTCTTGTGTTTGGAAATGATTCAGGGCTTAAGCTCTGTCAAACCACTGTTGTTTGGCAGATCCTGCCAGCTAAGGAAGCCCACAGCAGCCTCCTCCCAAGCCCAGGCCAGCCCACCAGGCACTGCTGGCCCATGCAGAGGCACACAGAGCTGCTGGCAGCCCTGGAGCCCCTGCCTTCACATCTCCTGGCAAGGGGAATTTCCAAGGCCACCTGAGTGTTCCTCACAGCTAATGAGTGACTCGCTCTTTTGTCATCAGGCTGGCTCCAAAGAAATGCTCCGGGGAGGGATTTGCCAGAAGACCTACCCAGGCTTGTCTGCCAGCAGAAAAATCTGATTACAGGAAAAGGGAAAAATTTCTCAGGGTGGGTCTACAGGCTCTGGAATACTTTGTGTTTGTTCATCAAGGCAGTAACAGCCAATTTATTCAAGGGTCTGTCCCCTTGGAACAGAGTTTGTGGCCAAGAGTTGTGAAATGGGAATGGCTGTGAACTCCTTGTCCTAATGTGGCATCACTAGCAGCTACAGCATCACAGGTGGCCTCTGACCCTGTTGGGAGAGGCTGAGAGCTGAGCTGGGGGAGCAAGGCACCCAGAAATGTGTTTTGTTAAGGGCTGCATCAGCCACTTTGCTTTCCTGCAAGTGTGATTCATTTCCTTATGCCTTACAGAGAGGGAGAGGGCAGATTAGGTTCTGAGGTCTGCTTTGTACTTCCCTTATGCTCTTAAAAAGGATGTTTTAAAGCCAGAACTTTGCAAATTGTCTCTGGGTTATTTCCCCCCCTTTTAGTGGCATTAGCTCTAAACGTGTGTCTGGCCAGAGAAGTTCCTGCACTCTCTCTCTTACATGGGGAGCAGAAACACTTTGGTCTGCCTTTTGCAAATTAATGCTGTAGAAAACGTTTCTTCTTACTCGGTGTTTTTACCATTCTCACTCCTGCCTCTGACCATTAGTCCCCTCCCTTTTAAATAAACACTTTTATCTACAAGGTGTAGCTTGCATGATTATGTGTGTGAATTGTTATATGTGGTCCTGAATATTTTCATGCAGAACTTCAGGTCT